GCTTCTGGACACAGTAAACACAAAAACGCAACATTCTCGCCAAACGACACATATTCTTGTAATGAGCTCAAAAATTTCATCATCGATTATAGCACGGCTGCAGGAGGACCGCCCGAACTACGAAAATCTAAAAATGTTCTCATAATACTGGAAGCTAACCTACTATAACGTACCGTAAAAATCGCGTTATTTTCTCATAAATACGTGGCATTGCTTGTTTTCTCTTCGTTTTTATCGAGAAGTTTGACGGCGTGACAAGTTTGAGTGTTGCTAATGTAATGCTGCCTTTTTCTACCGTGAGATTTCTAAGCGTTTGTTGCTCAGAAATTGTCGATTTTTTGGGGTTATGAATTTCTTATAAAAAAGTGAAAATCTTTGCCAAATTTCTAATAATACAAATAACTGTATTTATTAATGCCAAGCTGACTATGTCGTATATACTAAAATGCAACTTTTATAGATTTCTAATAGGTTTATTTCGGCTAGTTGGTTTAGGAACATCTCGAGGTAAAACAGCGCCACAGGACACAGACGAAGTAAAGGCGAGCCAGCACGCAACGCTGACTAGCAACTAAACATTTACTTTGCTCACACCCTGAATTGGGCGAAGTCAAACAAGCAGGATGCACAGAAAGAAGAAGAAAAAAAAAACACAGAGACAATCTCAGTATCATTTTGGATAGATAATACTGTGATGTGCTAACACCGCGCCAATAAGGAAATGATTTTGTTTTTCGAAAAGGCCGACGTGCATTCATGCATTCCTCATTCAATTTGGTTATTCCATAGGCTTCTATTATTTCTCAAGTCATTTCGCGAATTTTCATTTATTTAGAATTTTTTTATAGTCGGGGGTGCATCCACAATCACGGCAATGAATGTCCAGATGTAACGAAAGTGGTTTAGTGCCGTTGTATAGATGGTCCCTTAGTCGATAATTTATACGTCGTCCGGTCTGTCCGATGTCGAATTGTTTACACGAAAGGGAAATGGAATGCGCAACGCCTTCTTGTCAATAATAAAGAAAGAACCGTCTCTTCTTTGTGTAGGTGTGTTTTCTTACTTCTTTCTTAATTTTGTTTACTTTTTGACCCGATCCACACAAACGTTCAATCCGCCCCCCCCCCCCCCCCCTCAAAAAAAAAAAAAGAGAAAAGAAAAGCTGCTAGCATGGTTGGTTGAGGGACTTCTGAAAACTAGAAAAAGACCTCACCTGAATAATGTAAAAAAAACAAAAAACGTAGCCAAAACATTTAAGTCATTCCATACCTGCATGAAATATCTCAGAATTGAAAAAAAAAGAGCAATTATTAAAGTTTCCTTTACTTTTTTCTTTTGAACGTTTGTCTGACCTGTGCAAGAAAAGGTAACAAGAACGAGAGGCAAGTAAAAAAACTGTAGAAAGATGTAGAAACAGCGTTTTGTTGTTTGCAATGAAGGTGTTGGGTATTCCTATTCCCTTTTTTGTAAACCATCCTATTGGCGGTGAGATGTTTTTCTGTTGTCCTCCTGCTATGATTCCTCGTCGTGACGTCATTACTTTGTGAACAACAAGTTCAATGGTGTTTCCGTGTTTGAAATAAGCATGATGGAAGCTTGAAATTATTGCGCTCTGAAACTAACAATGCCAACACCGTCAAAATTTAAGCTCTTACATTACTTTCCGTCGATGAGAAATGCTTTGCTGAGGTCGTAGCCAGCATTCGAACAATCGAGGAAGACTGGTCACACCTGCGCTTTCGATCACTCACGTCGCCAATACCGTACAGCCCGGACGATGTATAAACGATTGACTCAAGCCGGGGTCATACTGCTTATCCATCATACAAAAAACGGTCTGCATACAGAGTCCAACGCGAGTCACCGCGAGATCCTTGCTTCGAATGCCGCATGGCAATGAGTTCGAAGACAATACTTGGCACGCGGCATTCGAACCACGGATATTCTGGTGATTCATGTTTGCAGATTGTCTTTTGTACGATGTATGAGCAGTGTGACCCCGGCTTTAATAAACATAAATATAACGTCACAAACGAATGTTGGGTCATCTTGGGATTCATTTCTGTGATTTTGGATGTGCCCCCAATTACCAAAAAATAGAAAATAATCGAAAAGAAAGGTGACAAACTGGCTCGAGAGATAATTGAATCCTATGAAACAAACAATCTGGAAAACAAATACGTAAGCATGAGCTTCGTCAGTCATTAGCGAGTCTTAGAATAGGGGGCCCCACAGCTTTGGGTGCCCCAAACAGCTCGGGGCATTGCATCGTGCATGCGCAGAAGTTCTGCGAATGCGCAGTGGGACGCCCCCAGCTGTTTGGGGCACCCAAAGCTGTGGGGCCTTCTATTCTAAAACTCGCTATTAAGACAAAGATATCCACTACGTCACTTGAGCGTGTTAAAAATCGTGTTAAAAATCCAATATATTGCTGAGATTTTATGTGTATATGTTTTTTTTTTTCTTATTTCTAGGTTCTCCGCTTACTTGGCTTTCGTCCAGGTGGCTCCGCAGAGGGTGTGAGCGAAATAAACGTTGAGTTGTTAGTCAGCGCAGTGTACTGTCTCGTCTTTACTTCTAACGTGTTCCATTGTAGTCCGAAATGATCCTTGATAGTATGTTATCTTACTTTAAGCTGGTCACAGCCTACCCAAACTGCCCCCTTCCCCAATAAATAAAAAAAGACAAGCTCCAGAAAGTTGGTAATTTAACTGGAAGCAAGTGTAATGGATCATTAAAATAATCACGGCTCCAATTAAGATTAATGACCTGGCCGCCTCGTTGGCTCTGAGTAAATGCTCCTACCTACGAATCCCCAGGTGGTGGGTTCGCATTCCGGCCGAAGTGCCCGCAATGTCACGGAGGTTTATGGCGGATAAGGTGCTGTGTTACCACGATTTCGGTTACATGTAAACAGGTCCCTAGGTGGCCGAAATGAATCATCGACCCTTCGCTGGGACGTGCCACATGTCCTTCATTAGGTCGGCACGCAAAACCGCGAAATTTGATTTTATAGTAATGATATCTTTCTTAGATATCCACCAGGAAGACGTGAGAACATTTTGCTCATAATAAAATAACATACTTTATCGCTGCTAAAGCTCTTATCGACAGGGCAAATTTGCGATATTATTAGCACGAAACAACGCGTTAGAAGTCAAATACATAATTTCTTACCCTCCAGATATTTAGGGCCATCCCGAGACCAACCCTACCGCGCGAAACCGGTCCCAAGCCCCAGAAACGGGCGGACGCGCGGCAACGGACTGCGCATAATCATCACCATAAATCTGCGGTTAATCCCCTCATTTGAAGCGTCCGCGATACAGGGGCAGACAAGCAGTCGATCCGTTATTTGTCGGGCCCCGTTAATGAAAAGCGATCGCTCCATTACCAATCGCGCTCGATTTCATCTCCCCCAACTGCCCCGCGTGTCCCAAGAAAGCAGCCGGCGGCACCTCGGCCCCGATGTTTGACGGCAAGGCGCCGACGTACGGGCCTTGCACAGTCCTTAACGGTTCGCTTCCCCTAATTTGTGGTCGTCGGTACGGGGCCACGCGCTGCCTATCGGCCCAGTCGTCGCTCCGTTGGCGAGCAAACTTTGGCCCGGCCCTGATGGGTGGAAACACTCTCGTTAGGCTATTTCGACGACGGATAGGTCAACACCGCCGGCCCAGGGGCCCGTCTGCGTCGCCCTCGATCCGGACAGCTCGTTCGATAATGTCGGAAAACAGTCTAGACGGTAGAATTAGTTCGGCGTTGCCGTTGACACGAACACGCTTTAAATATTTCTTGTTTCGTTGTGTTTCAATCTTTTGTCGTTTAGTCGACGAGTGGGGTGCAATATTGCCATCGACGACTTATACCAGCGATAGGGTCGGAGAGGAGGCTGATTGTGACGGCGTTGCTCGATTTCGCCATGGGTTTCTGACCGTTCTTAGTAAGAAATGCTGCGCTCTCCTAGAACAGGGCCGAAGTGGATTCGCCCGCGGTCTCTGTCACTCCTTGTGCAGTGACTGGGGCTTTATTGAATTGAGGTGCAGTATGCGAGAGTTAGCTCATGGGACTGCAGGGTTATTAATCAATTGGTCTTATGCGTATGACATTTTTCACTCAGATATTTTCTTCCTTTACTTTGAACCTTCTATTACGGTATTGCAGAATGAAAGCAAATAAATTCACCAGCGACATTTCAAGCTTACAATATAAATAGTTTTAATTACGCGATAGTAGCGATATCGGACAATTTTTGCGCCCTGTCAAATCTCAAACGCAGGCTCTTGTGAAGAGAAGAGCTGCGCATAAAACAATATTTTTGCTTTTTACTGCATGACTGGCATCGGTGTTGTTCTGGGAGCTTCTGCACTATGTATTTACGACGTTCTTGCTCTACAATATGTGCAAATAATTAAAAAAGAAAACAAAAAAACGGTGTCTCGCTAAAAGCACAGCCTTCCTTCTGCTGCATCACGGCGTCAGCATAAACAGACATGGCGGCGCCCATGAAACAGAGCAGACACTAGTCTATAGTGAAACGCGTTTGCAACACTGAGCATTCCACGTGCTCTAATTTGGACACTGTGCAAACAAAGGTCGGCGATGAATTCGACCGCCGTGATTGGACGGCGCAAAGTTCAAGCGCGGCGCCGACCAATCACGGATGCAGGATTCCTCGTCGACTTTATCGCCAACTGTCCAGATTAGAGCCTCAGAAACTCGTCAAACACCAAGTTCGAGCCGAAGTTGACGGAGCGCACCAATGGGACAGCCACGGCGATGACTTCGCGTTCTTGTCGCCGACGTCCAATCGGCTCGCTCCGCAAACTTTGGGCTCAAACGTTCTGTTTGACGTGTTTAGCGCCCCTGGACCCTTCTTTCCAAGTTTATCTGCCTGACTCGACCTCTTCAAATTTCCGTTTGTACCGCACTCAAAATCTGAGCCAAGCTGCTCTCCATATATATGCCAAAATGACAGACATCCCCGACGAAGGCAGCCTTACCGTAAACAATGAGCTCGGTCTCCGCTCTGTCTTGTCTGGCCGTGTTGTTCACGACGCAGTAGTACTTCCCGGCGTCCTGGGCCGCGGCTGCTCGGATGACCAGGTTGCCACCGATGAGGGAAATCCTGGGTCCCGCCGTGGGCACGGGCTCGGCCCGTCCCGAGACCTCGTCCTTGCGCAGCCACTGATACGCTGGCACGGGGAAACCCTGGGCCACGCAGGGAAGCACCACTTCGGAGTCCTCCAGGGCCGTCACTTGGCCCAGGAGGTGGGTTATGCGAGGAGGCACCATGTTGTGGGGCTCTGCAGCGAGAGACGAGGCGCGGGAAATAGTCACCACTCTGCCTCGAGGTCAGCAAATATCCTTAATATACGCTATGCGAAAACAGAAGCACAGGGATCAGACGCTGCAAGTAACACCTCAAAAATTGAATCGAAGAAAAAAAAAAGTTGCATAGGAGAATGTTTGGAAAATCTTTCCGTTCATTCGATGGCCATTGACTCGCAGATTTTATAAATCTCAAAGACCGACTTACATATAGAATGGTGCTGGTCTACGTTTTTAAGGCCGTTTTACGCAAAGAGAAAACATTTCTGTATTCAAGTTTGATTACATTTTTTTTTCCCCACGAAAAATCGGGAGGATGGGCAGGAGGAGGGGAAAAAAAAAGAGGCATCATGCCGATACAACAGCGAATATATGTCATCAGGTACGTTCTTTGGGGGCATTAAGTTTTCATTTAGCAAACTGTTTTCGCGCTTACATATTACATGCATTAGAATGGAATGGTAGGCTAGTCGGTGCAATGCTACGCAAATAAAAACGCCATATAAATTACGCGTTTTCCCCCCTTTTTTGCCCCGTTCTCTAACGCTTTTATTTTTGTAACAATTTCATGCGAATCAATAACATACGTATATAGGAACTTCAACCGTCATCGTTTTTTCTTTTTTTGAAGCTTAGAGTTTAAATAGGATAAAAACATTCTCAGCCGCTTTTGCGCATTCTGATGTCTGAAACGTCCAATAATAGCATTTCGGTATCGGTGACGACCTCCACTTCCTAGCGGTTCTCAGGGTCTCGTGGAACACCTTAAGGCCCGTTTCAGATTCCGTCTGACCGGGTCCATTGGAACGCAGCGTTCGCTGCAATCCAATCTCTAACACACACACACACACAAAAAGAAAAAAAAACTGTTTACCTCATGAACTTGAGTATGGCGAAACATCATGCTCGGCGCCACAGCGCAGCGCAAACATTTTTTTTTTGTCTAAACATATGAACAGGCTCGTCATTAGCTGCAGCGATTGGTTTTCTCACGTGCATAGCAGGGAAGTCGATGTTCCAGACTTTGTAGAGTGTACACAGTAAGTACCACATAGGGTTAATTCTTCACGTTCATTGTCTACAAAACACGCAGTATTTTTTATTCAAGTGGACACGGGATCTGGTGCAAATTATACGCCGCCATTGTTCAACCTAGCAAAGCGAAGGGGTCGGCAATGCCCAGGACACACGCCGACTTTCGGACGTTGTTAGGACGTGCTACTTCCGTCATTGCCCGAATTAGACTCGAGACGTTACCCGAATGCTCGTCAAGACGTCGATTGTCACCAGCTCAGTCCGAGTGTTCGCACGGCGCTCGTGTCTAATCTGTGCGCCGTATTTAAATACCGTAATTATGGGGTAATCCCCAGAATACCGCAAGATTGCGATACCCTTTACGACGTCGTTTTGCGAGGGAAAAATAAAGCAAAAGTTCACTTTTATCCGTCAAGGTACACAGCGACAAAGGCGTTTCTGGGCATTACTTAGGTCGCACTATAGTGCCGGTAAGTTTATTTAAAATGGGAACCGTTCCGCCCCAATTTCGTTGCGCTGCCCTTTTAACGAGCAAAAAGAGCGCCGAACCACACGCTCTCTTTTTCATCTCCGGTTCTCGCAGCCAAGACATTTCTCGAAGAAGACGCGTCGCGGCAGCGCAGCACGCTTCGAGAAACCGAGGCACGACACGAGCGCAACCAACAGACGGGTCACGCGGAGAAACGAGAGTGCATTGTCCGGAAAAACTCGACGCGACGGGCTCGCCATTACACGCTCGACTGCCTCCTGCGAATGCACCCGGGTGCGTTCCCTGTCAGTCCCACGTGGAGCGTGGCGAAAGCTTCCGGCGCTCCGAGCCAAATCTAACGCCGCGGCAGCCTGTCAAGTTACCAGCTCCGCGCCGTATCGCTAGCGGGAAGCGCAAGGTCACGGGACTCGCTTGCGGTGCCGAAATGGCTCGTGTTAGCCGTAGCATTGGCGATAAAAGCTCACGTTAAACAAAAAAAAATTTGCAAAAATTGTACAGAATAGGAGGCAAATTGCTAAGATGATATTGTGCCGGTAGGTGTGTATGTCCTCTGCTGTTGTATTGGAGGGGGGGGGGGGGGGGGGGGCAGAGGCTTGTCAAGCTCTACTGAGTTGCCGTTTGTTTCTGTCTCCCATCTCCGAGTGTAGAAAAGTAAAGACCTTCAAATTAAATTTGAAGGCCGAGCAAATCTGTTCCGACTTTCACCTCCGAACTCTTGAGGAGCAGTTTAGTGAAGATGATTGCTAGGAAAATGGCCTAATAAAAAAAAAACTTTCCTATTTTTTTTCTTTTACCTGCCGAGTGAGCTAGCAAAAATCAAATATATTTATGATTTTCTTTTGTGTGTGTGGGATAGGATAGTGCAAGAAATATATGGATGCCGGATACACACTGGGCTAGCGTGGGTCAGTACCGTAAACAACGCATTGAACTCTATCCTTCAAAATGCATATGGAGGTTTTCTGTGCTAGGCCAATAAGACTTGAGGTTCTTATAACGTTCCGTTGGAAAGCAATGAATTTGGGAGTCTGATTAATATTTATATTTCATTTGCTTATTTGTATTTTTTTCTCGCTGTTTCAAGCGTGGGTGCCAACCGGATTCATTTTTTTTTTAAAGTAAAATGGGGCTTGCTTCCTTTCACGGTGTACTTTCTACTTATTGTGACAAACAAATGAAACTAGAATTCCATTCACACTATCTTCAAGTTTTATTTTATGTCGATTTATGATGTATTTGGTGCATTCAGTTCGTCAGAAGCAAACGGGGTTCAGTTTCAAGATATATAAAATAATTATTATCTAAATTGTTTGCATATGTTGATATTACACGTGTCTGTTTTTCCCCTTATATTTGTGCCGATTTCAAGAATTGATTTCATAATCAATGTAAATATGTCACATTGAGGTCCTTTATTCATGCTGATTCACTAACAATTACGTAATACATTCTCTTTAGCTCTGTCTAAAGGTAGTTCATTAAAAACTAAAACATCCACAATTTATTTTTGCGAACCCACGTAACAACTTTGTTGACCCAAACGTGACACCAAAATTTACAGTTGTGTGTGTAACACTGAGCCTATTAACACAATTGGTACATGTCTGCATCACTCGGGTCGATTGAATAAAGGTATTTTTGCCGCTTAAAAAATGAAGGTTAATTTAAGGTTTACATCTTTGGTTCATCTGCAATGAACTCTGTAACTAGAAAACCATATCTGTCTTTAAATAAATACGTCTCTCCCGATGTATACATCAGTCGTATATGTTCGGGTATGCTAAATTGTTTTTAATACTAATAAACTTTCTTTGAATAGACAGGGCCAAAAACTAGAGGTTTTGTACCATATTTTTTTGTAAATTTAGGTTTGTCCGAGTTTCAATGCGTTTCAGCTCAAATCCCCAGAGAGAGGTGCCTTGTATCTTCGACCAAAATTACCAAATCATCCGCGTACTTTTATATGACAGTGTTCAAGGAGAGTGGGAACACCGTGACGGCAACATGTACACGCTTGATTGGTGCATCAGGCACGTATCTTCCACTCTTCTATTAGCATTGGGACACACGTAGTATATTTCGACTTACGCAATCTGCTTCGCGCAGCAGATCATACGCTTGTCTGTTTTCGTTGAGACGGAATTGCTGCGGACCTGTTTGCCCCCGGAACCGGCGCCATAAATTCGACTTTGGGTCTGAACTGAAGACGACTGCGTTTCAAGAGTCTGCAAAACGTGTTTTCTTTTTTTTGTATGTGTGTGTGTGTGTGTGTTTCGTCAGAACGAAAATGGCTTGTTGGAACGAAGAAAAAACAAACAGACGTGATAAAGATAAAGTTGCTGACAGAACTCTTTACCGTCAGAAAAGGTTCCCGACGTTCCTCGGAATCGGAAGTTAGTTTACGATGTCTGCAGTGTTTTTTCTCTGAAGTTCGACTTCCTGCAGGCGGCGGGTGCGTGTAATGATGCTGCTTTCCAGAAAGCTTCTTTCACGTTCCCACGCGTCACGAGCCGACGCGCAATGGTAACAAGAAAAAAATCAAACCTGCTGATATTAGTCGTCACTTTTGAGGCGTATATATATATATATATATATATTGTTAGGAAGAAGAAGTGGTACCGCAGAGTGGCGCGCGCTCGACGAGCATTCAGAGAGCTCGGACTGTACCCGGACGAATGTCACCCCTACTATCCATCCTGTATCTAATCATTCCTCATTAAATCACCCTATATTTGTAACCTAATATGTAACTTAATGAGTTCTCGGCGTGGCCGGTCCTCATCCCCCTACCCTCGACGCCGCTCTGTCTCGCCGTTTATTAATGCCACTGCCACATCTCCACCGTCAAACTAAACAACGCAGCCTGTCGTGACACAGGAGGTCAGGCTGCATCGCCGTCAACAGCCCCAAATCCTCCTTCTCTTGGCCCTACCACTATCGCAGTCGAAATTGGAAGAGAAAAAGTCGCAGCTTTAATAGACAGAGGTGCAGCAAAATCCTGCATTTCTAATCAATTCCGTCGCCGTTTGCACAAAGTGCTAACTCCACCATCTCCTGGACATTTCCTTCGCATGGGAAACAGTGACCACATACAACCTCTCAGTCACTGCACTATACCGGTTCAGATCGGTGGTACTTCCTACATAATTCTATTCACTGTACTCAAAAATTGTGTCGTCGACGTTATATTGAGATGGGATTTTCTTTCGGCCACTGACGCGACCATTGACTGCGCCAGCCGGGAATTGCTCTTGAACTCTTCGCCGACTACTGACACCGCCTGTGAACCTTACCCCATTTTTCTTCATGCCAGTGGTAATTACATCTTACCTCCCCTCTCGGCTACCTATATCACACTCATGCCGAACCGTCCTCTTCCATGCACCTCCGGTCTTATTGAGCCTATCGCCAGCCTTGTCACAAAGAAGCCTGTCATCATCCCCTACTGCA